ATAAAAAACATGTTCCAGAGTGGTTCATTGTACATAAAGTATTTTTGTGATTAATATTCAAACTAAATGTTAATGTTCACTGATTGCTTTAAAGACCCAGAGTCATGCTATATTGGACCCAGAGTCATGCTACAGGACTTAAGAAACTACAGGTGATTTATCAGTATTCAGTTGCTTAATTCTCGAGTTTAAATTGAAGAACAAAATGGTTGAAAGTATGTGATACCTTCTGATAGGGTATAAACATTTGTATTCTTTTTTAAAAGTTTTGTTAGTTAAGCACTAAATATAACTCACGGATGATGAATCATTATATTCTGTATAAACTACAAAGGAGACAGCTCAAAGTGGAATTGAGTAAATAAATATCTACACATATAAAAACATTTTAGCAATTAATTATAATAAAAATAAAATATACTGTCACGTAACTTTTGACAAAATAACTTTTTAGAATGTGTTTTTTTTTTGTCAACTTTCATTTAACACTCCAGACCAGTTGGTGGCAGTAATGCGCTTTCATAGTCGGTCAAGCAGCCGCCATTAAACTCCAGAGGAAGATTTGCACCGGCGCGAACGGGTGTTACTGCTAAACTCAACATGAATGAAAATCCCCGTGAGTTGTGTAAAATGGTGGAAAAAGTCCTATTTCACGGAGTTACTTTTTCAGTATCGTTTTGATATTAAGCAATGTCCCGCGGAAAACAACAGATGACACCGCGGCGGTCCAACAAGGTCGAACTCACGGTAAGAAAGCTTTTATGAATAGGGAGCACGTGCAGCGAGGTGAGTTGCTTTGTTTGTTTCTTACAGAAAGCGGTCTGTCGTTTTCATAATGTCAAAACAAGTGTAGGGTGAGATTTCGTATTGTATTTGTTATTATATGTGATGTTCTGAACTCTTAAAAATACTCGCATCTTCTTTTATTTTTTTCAGACCTGAAAAATGGCCAAGTCTAAACAGCCAGGCCTCAGACCACGGTACTGAGGCGCTCTTACGGAGTCCACCAGGAGGAAGAGCAATTCAGTAAGTTATGATTTCACATTGAGTCAATGGTGAACACTCGCATATTTGTGTGACAGTATGCCCTGTAGGCTTTGAACGCACCACACAAGTGCCTGAATCTAATTGGTTGTGGCGCTGGCTGCCTGTATATAA